AGTGGCCACAGAACTGGAAAAGGTTAGTTTTCATTCCAATCCAGAAGAAGGGCAAAGCCAAAGAATGTTCAAACTACTGCACGTTTGTGATCATTTCACATGCTTGCAAGGTAATGCTCAAAATCCTTCAAGATGGGCTTCAACAGTACATGAACCGAGAACTTCCAGATGTAAAATCTGGTTTTATAAAAAGTAGAAGAACCAGACAACAAATTGCCCACATCCATAGGATCATAAAAAAAGCAACAGAATTTCAGAAAAACATTTACTTCTGCTTCACTGACTACACTAAGGCCTTTGACTGTGTGGATCACAACAAACTGTGGAAAATTTTTTAAGTGATAGGAATACCAGACAACCGACCTGCCTCCTGAGAAAACTGTATGCAGGTCAAGAGGCAACAGTTAGAACTGGACATGGAACAATGGACTGGTTCCCAATTGGGAAAGGAGTATTTCAAGGCTGTATATTGTCACCCTGTTTATTTAACTTACATGAAGAGTACATCATGCGAAATGCCGGGCTGAATGAAGCTCAAACTAGAATCAAGATTGCTGGGAAACATCAAATAAACTCACACATGCATATGACACCACCCTAATGGCAGAAAGTGAAAAGGAACTAAAGAGCCTCTTGATAAAGGTGAAAGAGGAGAGTGAAAAAGCTGGCTTAAAACTCAACATTCAAAAAACTAAAATCATGGCATCTTGGTCCCATCACTTCATGGTAAATAGATGGGGAAAAAAATGAATCAGTGACAGACTTTATTTTCCTGGGCTCCAAAATCACTGTGGACAGTGACTGCAGCCATGAAATTAAAAGATGCTTGCTCCTTGGAAGAAAACCTATGACAAACCTAGACAGTGTATTAAAAAGAAGAGAAATTACTTTGTTGACAAAGGTTTCTCTAGTCAAAGTTATGGTTTTTCCAGTAGTCATGTACAGACTTGAGAGCTGGACTGCAAAGAAGGCTGAGCACTGAAGAATTGATGCTTTCTACCTGTGGTGCTGGAGAAGACTCTTGAGAGCCCCTTGGACTGCAAGAAGATCAAGCCAGTCAATCCTAAAGTAAATCAACCCTGAATATTCATTGGAAGGACTGAGCTAAAGCACTGATGCTAGAGCTCCAATACCTGGTCCACCTGATGTGAAGGGCTGACTCATTGTAAAAGACACAGATGCTGGGAAAGATTGAGGCAAGGAGAAAGGGCGATAGAGGATGAGATGGTCAGATGGCATCATCGACTCAATGAACATGAGTTTGAGCAAACTCAGGGAAATAGTGATGGACAGGGAAGCCTGACGTGCTGCAGTCCATGGGGTTGCAAGGAGTTGAACATGATTGAGCGACCGAACAACTCCATCTTAGGCGAGAGTGGGCACAAAAACATTCACAATAATTTCAGTAGGCTTTTTTCTTCTATTTGTATCAGTTAATTGATTGTGAAACAGTTTTACAAGTATTCTAAGATGGCTTAATATATAAATGTGTTGATGTTTCTGAAAGTCAGGATCTACACTGTGGAAGGACATACACATAAAAAATGAAGGAAGGCAAGAACAAGCCCTAAGTGTATTACCTGGAATTGAAGGGGTCTGTAAGAACTCAGTTTCCAAATATGTCTATGTATGGGTATATGCATATATATATATATATATATATATATTTACTTTTATATGTATGTAGTTTAGCTACATATGAATGCACCCATGTGTGTGTGTACACACATTGATCCTTCAATTCTATGTTAAAACACTATATATGACCTTTTATACCATAAGAAATTACAGAACAGTCAGTCCTTATTTGGGAAAGCTTCCAACCCTACACTAACAATGTACAGCTCCAGGTACTAGAAACAGTTACAGTCAGGCTGACCCTTAACCTACACTTCCAGCTGACCATGATCTTAAACTTTTCTGCCCAGAAACCTCCATACAGATGCTTCCTTGAGACACTGTACTATTCAGATGCCCCTATTATTAGGTATACCTGGAAAACACTCTTCTCAGTCTGACTCAGTGTAAAGAACTTACCCACTCCAAACTCTGCCTCCTTGTCCTTTCCCTGGGCCCAGGGTCCTTAAAACAGTGGGAGCCTTTTGTTGGAGGCAGTGAGATGTTGCCTCCACTCTCTCCTGTCTATAATGACACACCTGACCCTTGCCCAGTGCTGTTCTGTGGGGAAAATGGAAGACTAGTGGAGCTTCAGCCGTTTTCTGTTTACATTATTGTTTATACTATCAGAGTAAATGAAAAAAGGCTTAATTTTACTTTGTACAGTTTGTTATCTTAATTGGCCAACTTGACAGCTCTTTCTCTGAGAAACTGGCACAGTGAGCAAAGTGACCAACGAAACATAACGCTTTTTTGAAAAAGTGAAATCTCTTTAGATCCCACAAAGCCCTTTTAGAAGGTGTTAGAGACAATTTGGGTCACTCTTGGACTATGTAAGTGGATTACTGCAAGGTTGTCCAATGGAACACTCAGCCAGTAATGCCAATGAGTCTCAGAAAGTGCTGGTGGAGGCCATAGAGCACCCTTAGAAGGTTCTAATAAATTGTTAAGACTTCTAGTTTTAGGGAAATATTGGTCCTTCACTTTAGCCTCCAAACTCGCATCAGTTTCCCCAATGAATCAAATTAGAGATTGAACAGAGGGACTCTGAGAGAGCTAGGCAAAGAATTCTTGAGCTCATGGTTATGGTTCTCCAGAGATGGACATAAAAGTCATCAGAGACGCAGAAAGCTGAGTTATATACTCTATGACTGTTGTTAGTTCTAAGTCCTGACAGAGACTGATGACTTTAATGAAAAAGGATGTAAAGGACTTTCCAATCACTGCCCAGCGACTTGAAGAGATCTTCAGAGACTTAGGTCTTACCAGACTCAGATTTCTAGGTTCACTTTTGTCAAGCTCAATCAAATTTTCTCATAAGTTTGTGTTAATTAGTTGTCACATAGTCAGATCTTAACTGGTAAATTTTCAGGCATCCAAACATTGGCGGCTGCCAGAAAGTGATATAATGCTCCCTCTACTGGATGTTATGGGCAATGACCTTACGTAAAATCTGTAGCCCTGATACCCATACAGTGGGGTATCAAAGGAATAAATTAATACTCTCCACCAAGGTACTCTTGTTATACTATGGGCCATAAGGACCTAACATGCAGCCCCACTACGGTCCACTTTGTGGTGGCCGCTATGAATAAAGCAAGTGCTATTTTCTATACTTTTATCAATGAATCTTGAGATGGATCTGAAACTAGCATATACACTTATCCTGATTCTCAGCTGTCAAAAATAAACAAAATAGGGCTATGCCAAAGCACCTATTTCCCCAGTGAAGACAGGAGAGCCTATTCCAGGACAAAGTTCAAAAGGCAGTTGGAGGAGAATTACATTTCTTGGGCTTTTTGGATTGTGGTACACTAATATCTGTAATCCTCACAAGCCCTGGTGCTAGAATGAGGGGGAAACAGATAATGATGTCTGTTTTGGGGCACCACTACAAACAGAAACCTTTTCCAGGCCAGACTATGGTACGCTGCATTGTTATTGCCTTCACTGCTGAATGTATTATTGGTAGAGATGCATTATTTAGATGACCCATCACTCATATTCACTCCCAAGCTGTGACAGGATTTCATAATGTTAGGATATTTTAATAGGGCAGCAGGAAGATCTTGAGCCACCCAACTACCAGAACCTAGAACCCTTATCTGTTAATACTAAAAACAATACTGACATGCTGGGTATAAAAAATAAATAGCTGCCCTTGTTGCTGGGCTTAAAGAAGCCAACAATTTCCAGAGACTATACCTGCATTCAATAACCCAATCAGAAAAAAAAAATAGCCCCATCAGACCTGTGCACAAAACCTCAGGTGCCTACAGACTGACATGATTAAGGCTGCACAAAGTTTAAGTACCAACCTCACACTGGTATTGTGACTGTCACAGAAGCTACTGCCCAAGGTAAAGGAACTCAGTATACAACAACCAACAACTTGAATACTTTTCAGCATCTCTTCATGCCAATGATGATGATCAATTTACCACTATGTAGAATTAATTGAAATATGCCACTAATGTCCTTCCACAGGGATCTCTCAATTCCCCATCTGCCTATCTTCAATGGGTAGAGCATGACTGAGATAAAGTCCCACTCACAGGGGGAATTTCCTATATTGATGACGTCTTTCTGGTGGGCCCAGACAAGCACCATCCCACAAGGACTGAACATTCTGTTGATCCATATGGGACAACATAGCTGGGCCATTAATCTAGACAAGGACCTAGTATCCAAGTGTAATTCCAGTGTGTGACCTGTAGCAGATAAAAATCTTACTCCAGAGGAGATGTTTGCAAATCTTTGGGCCCTCCCTTCCTCAAATTATTTATTTTAATTGTATTGATGGGACTGTTGATGGGATTCTTTGACTACTAACACATTTGCATGCTGCCCACAGGGATATGAAGGCACATTTCTAAGGAGTTACCATAAAGGCTATCCCCTTTGAGTGGAGACCCAGCCAAAAAGATGCCATGGAAGACTTCCAACAGGTCATTCAATCTCCTTCCCTGGACTCCTCTGAGTCCCCACTTGTTTTCTGAGTTACTGATCTCTTTGTAGCTTACTGACATTGTAGCCTATAGCAAAACGACACTGACAGAGGTCAGAGGCAGCCACTGGTCTTTCAGAGCAGAAATGTCCCAGGTTGGCTGATAGGTACATATCCTTAGTGAGATAACTACTGATCTATTATTGTCCTTAATGGACACTGAGCATGAAACAGTCTTAAGGTCAGAAATTTCAACTAAACTGTATCAAGAACTTCATTTCTGTTTTCAAGTTGCCTTAAGGTATTCAAACTTTAAATCAAAATGTAAAATTTTATTCATACAAAACATATGCTGAGATATATCTTCAGGAAACAAAAAAGATCTGATAAGTTTAATTTGAAATGATATGAAGTTATTTATGATTATGATGCTTACTAGAGAGTCTTTCCTTTTTGAGAGTTCTTTGCTTCTTTACTTGCATTTCGGTTTTTGACACAGAATCCTGATGGTTAAGCATAACCTTTTCATACGATGCTTTATCATAACCTACATAAAGAAATGCATTTAGTCCACTGAATAGAAAAAAAACAGATCTACTGTGAAATATCTAAACTTCAAATTTATACAAGTGTACAGCAGAATTCTCTTTCATTTTGATAAAAAATAAATTATCATAATGCTAGATATGACACAAAAGTTGTGAGAAAAGTTTTAGTGAGTGTTTTGAATATATTTCTATCAGTCTCTAGTTTTCTTGGGTTATTTATACTTTAGATTACTGTCAATCATAGGTCAAACAATGAAAACACATAGGCACAAGATTACTCATCATGGCATCATGTGTAATTGCATAATATTCAAACTACCTGAATATCCATAGATCATTGCTTGAATAATCTAAGATATGTACCATAAACCATGTTATAAATAAATATAAATAATGTTTATAATGTGACACAAAGAGCTGTACATACAGCTGTAAAATGAATGAAAAAGTTGTCCAGACATGAAACAATTTCCAAGAAAGAATGTTAAGTAAAAAATAAAAGTGAAAAAGTATACATTTAGGATATCACCTTTGAGGTAAGAAAGAAGGGGAAGTTAAGGGGGAAATTAAGAAAAATAGACACACTTACAAATGAATTACAGAAATGATAAACCAGAGAACAATATAATACATAGTTACTTACAACAGAAGGGTAAACTGGGGCATACAGGGGAAGGGATTCAGGAAAACGTGAGCTCTGGCACTCTTTAGAAGTAGGTTGATATTCTGTATATTACAAACTTGAAAGCAACTTAAGGGGGCTGTCCTAAGATGGCAGAGGAATAGGACGGGGAGACCACTTTCTCCCCCACAAATTCATCGAAAGAATATTTGAATGCTGAGCAAATTCCACAAAACAACTTCTGAATGCTGGCAGAGGACATCGGGCACCCAGAAAGGCAGCCCATTGTCATTGAAAGGAGGTAGGACAAAATATAAAAGATAAAAGGAGAGACAAAAGAGGTAGGGACGGAGATCTGTCCCAGGAAGGGAGTCTTAAAAGAGAAGTTTCCAAACACCGGGAAACACTCTCACCAGCGGGTCTGTGAGGAATCTTGGAATCTCAGAGGGCCACATAACCAGGAGGAAAAATGAATAAATAAATAATTAAAACCAACAGATTATGTGCCTAACGACAACTCCCAGCAATTGCAGCTGCCACCAGCAAGCGGGGGCTGAACAGGGAGGCGCGGGCTGCATTGCTTAGGGTAAGGACCGGGCCAGAATGCCCTGAGGACAGTCTGAGGGAACTAATGTGAGATAGCAACCCGAACTGTGGGAGGGCCAGAGAGAGAGGAAAAAAAAGGAGAGGGAGAAAGAGAACTATCCTGAGAAAAGCCCTAACCGAGGCACTGCCAGGCTGGCTCACAGAACAAAGGACTGAGCGAATCCCAGAGGAGAGCTAGCAGGCTGCGGACCGGCCCATCCCCTGCCGGAGACAAGCAGGTGGGGCGGGGGGGGCGGCAGCCAGAGCCGGAAAGGGGCAATCGCGGCCCCAGAGAGGCATGCAAAAAGGCTCCGTTGCTATCCAAGACTTTGGGATTCTGGAGGGCTGACATCCTCCAGGAGGGTTGCAGCCAGATCAGCTCCCCAGAAGAGACTCACAGCACACCTGAGAAGGTGCGCCTGTTGTACTCCCAGAAAACCGAGCCACTGGGATGGGGGAGGCGATAAGACGCACCCCCCACCTGGGGGTGACTGTGCTTGCCAAGCACCTGGTCATCTGAGCCGCTCGGACCTCGGAAGGGCACAAAACGCAGGCCCAACCGAGTCTGCCCTTTGGGGAGTACCCGAGAACCTGAACCTGAGCGGCTTAGACCTGGAAGTGCAGGTAACCCAGGAACGCCTCAAGACAGTTCCCGGCAGAGCAACCTGGAGCCTGAGAAGTGTAGACCGTGAAAGCACAGACGCCATAATCAGGGGCAAACCCAGTGCGGCTGAGACACTGCGAGCGTTCCCCACACACACCAGTGATATTTGTGTGGAGTGTTCCTCCCTCCCCACAGCACAACTGAACAAGTGAGCCTAAATGAGTGACCACCACCGCCCCCTTGTTTCAGGGCGGAAAGTAGACAGTGAAGAGACCAGAAAACAGAAGAAGCCAAAATAAACAGAGGGAACCACTTTGGAAGTGGCAGGTACAACAGATTAAAACCCTGTAGTTAGCACCGACTATATAGAAGGGGCTTATAGATCTTGAGAAGTATAAGCCGGATCTGCAACAGCTCCAGAGAAATTCCTATATTTTTACTATTATCATTTCTTAAGTCCTCTATTACTCCTTTAATTTTCATTTTTATAATCTACTATTCAGTTCACTACTATACCTTGCCAAAAAAAACCCTATTTTTAAAGCAAACTTCATCTATATTTTACAATGTTTGTGACTTTATTTTGTCTTTTAATACTGTATTTTCATAGTCTAACCTCTACTCTAGATTTTTAATCTTTGCTTTTTGGTATTTGTTATCAATTTTGTACCTTTAAGAACCCAATCTTCAGTACCCATTTGTACTTGGGAGTGTGATTACTGGCTTGATTGCTCTCTCCCCCTGTTGACTCTCCTTTTTCTCCACCAGGTCGCCTCTATCTCCTCCCTCCCCCTTCTCTTCTCTACCCAACTGGGTGAACCTCTTTGTGTGTCCCGGCTGTGGAGAACATATAGGGAACTGATTACTGGCTGGATCCGTCTCCCTGCTTTTGATTCCCCCTTTTCTCCCCTGGTCACCTCTGTCTCCTTCTTCCCTCTTCTCTTCTCTGTGTAACTCCATGAACATCTCTGAGGAGTCCAGACTATGGAGAGCACATAGGGAATTGATTACTGGCTAGCTTGCTCTCTCCCCTTTTGATTCCCCCTCTTCTCCTCCTGGCCACCTCTATCTCCCAGGGAATTGATTACTGGCTAGCTTGCTCTCTCCCCTTTTGATTCCCCCTCTTCTCCTCCTGGCCACCTCTATCTCCCAGGGAATTGATTACTGGCTAGCTTGCTCTCTCCCCTTTTGATTCCCCCTCTTCTCCTCCTGGCCACCTCTATCTCCCTCTTCCCTCTTCTCTTCTCCATGTAACTCAGTGAACCTCTCCGGGTGTCCCTCACTGTGGAAAAACTTTTCATCATTAACCTGATGTTTCATCATTGGTGCTGTATAGATGGAGAAGTCTTGTGGCTACTGTAAGTATAAGACTGAAATTCAGAGACAGGAGCTTAAGTTCAAAACCCGAGAACACCAGAGAACTCCTGACTCCAGGGAACATTAATCGATAAGAGCTCATCCAAAAGCCTCCATATCGACACTGAAACCAAGCACCACCCAAGGCCCAACAAGTTCCAGAGCAAGACATACCTTGCAAATTCTCCATCAACACAGGAACATAGCCCTGAGCTTCAATATACAGGCCACCCAAAGTCACACCAAACCCACTGACATCTCAAAACTCACTACTGGACAATTCATTGCACTCCAGAGAGAAGAAATCCAGCTCCACTCACCAGAACACCGACACAAGCTTCCCTAACCAGGAAACCATGACAAGCCACCCGTCCAACCCCACTCACAGCAAGGAACGTCCACAATAAAGAGGAACCACAAACTGTCAGGAGACAAAAAGGCCACCCGAAACACAGCATCTAAACACGATGAAAAGGCAGAGAAATACTCAGCAGGTAAAGGAACAGGTTAAATGCCCACCAAACCAAACAAAGAGGAGGAGACAGGGAATCTACCTGATAAAGAATTCCGAATAATGATAATGCAAATGATCCAAAATCTTGGAAACAAAATGGAGTTACAGATTAACAGCCTGGAGACAAGGATTGGGAAGATGCAAGAAATGCTTAACAAGGACGTAGAAGAAATGAAAGAGTCAATATATAACGAATAATGCAATAAATGAGATAAAAAACACTCTGGAGGGAACCAACAATAGAATCATGGAGAGAGAAGATAGGATAAGTGAGGTAGAAGATAGAATGGTAGATATAAATGAAGCAGAGAGGAAAAAAGAAAAAAGAATTAAAAGAAATGAGGACAACCTCAGAGACCTCTGGGACAATGTTAAAAACGCCAACATTAGAATCATAGGAGTCCCAGGAGAAGAAGACAAAAAGAAAGACCATCAGAAAATACTTGAGGAGATAATAGTTGAAAACTTCCCTAAAGTAGGAAAGGAAATAGTCACCCAAGTCCAAGAAACCCAGAGAGTCCCAAACAGGATAAATGCAAGGTGAAACACCCCAAGACACATGTTAATCAAATTAACAAAGATCAAACACAGAGAACAAATATTAAAAGCAGCAAGGGAGAAACAACAAATAACACACAAGGGGATTCCCATAAGGATAACAGCTGATCTTTCCACAGAAATTCTTCAGGCCAGAGGGGAATGGCAGGACATACTTAAGGTGAAGAAAGAGGAAAAACCTGCAACCCAGATTACTGTACCCAGCAAGGATCTCATTAAATATGAAGGAGAAATCAAAAGCTTTACAGACAAGTAAAAGCTGAGAGAATTCAGCACCACTAAACCAGCTCTCCAACAAATGCTAAAGGATCTCCTCTAGACAGGAAACACAGAAAAGGTTTATAAACTCAAACCCAAAACAACAAAGTAAATGGCAATGGTATAATACTTATCAATAATTACCTTAAATATAAACAGGTTGAATGCTGCAACCAAAAGACAAAGACTGGCTGAATGGATACAAAAACAAGACCCCTATATATGTTCTCTACAAGGGACCCACCTCAAAACAAGGGACACTTACAGACTGAAAGTAAAGGGCTGGGAAAAGACATTCCATGAAATAGAGAGCAAAAGAAAGCAGGAGTCGCAATACTCACATCAGATAAAATAGACTTTAAAATAAAGGCTGTGAAAAGAGACAAAGAAGGACACTACATAATGATCAAAGGATCATCCAAGAAGATATAACAATTACAAATATATATGCATCCAACATAGGAGCTCTGCAAAATGTAAGGCAAATGATAACAAGTACGAA